ATGTGACCTGACAAGCAGTACATTGCTGGATGACTATACCACGCCTGGGGGTGGGGGGGGTAAGCGGGGGAAGGGAAGCAGAGAGCTTGGTGTACCAAAAGAGAGGTGAGGTGGACTCCAAGATTTGCTATTCTTATTCAGGGTGGGATATTGTCACCATTCCTTAAAACCCTAGAGGTCCTCTAAAGAGTCTGGAATTGTTGGGGCTGAAGAGGAAATTGGTGCTGTTGCTGCTAATTGGAGGATCAGAAATGAGATTTTCTCCACCTCTTATGCTGAGATCACATTCAGTCCTTTTCAGGTTATACTGTCTGTGCAGTCTAGCATTTTAACTAAGTTTGGTGGAACATGAAGGCAGGAATATGGGTATATTTGTTTCCATCTCAAGGGCCCCTTAAAAAAAAAAAAAAAAAAAAAAAAAAAAAAAAAAAAAAGAAAGAAAGAAACAAAGGAGTTGAGCTTGAGATGGGGCTTTTGTCAGTTCTATCTACCCTGCAACATAAGATTCTCCTTTAATTGAACCTTGGAACACAGTTAGTTCTAGGATTGATCTGATTATCTTGCAGGATGACAAGTATTTTGTAATGACCATCATGCTTACACTAGCACTATAGAAACTGCAGAGAGTCTGAAAGACTTCCAAATCACTGGTAGAATTCATATTACTGATTTGGAGCTACGTACTGTGGTTGTATTTGGCTGAGTGTCCTGTGGAAAAGGAGGTAGATCAAAATCTCTCCTTTCCTTCTCCAGAGGATGTTGTGACCAGTGCAGTTTATATACTAGTATATGAGGCACCGTGAGAAGTTCTTAAATGTAAATTGTGCCCTCCAACTAGGACAGGTTGATCCTGTCTGTCTTAATTTTCACCTGGGGCTTCTGCAGCTTTATCTCCAAGGTCTGCTAGTCTTGAGTTGACAAAGTCTGACTAAATTGTTGCATCTTGAACCCTCATACTGGGGATTCTCCTCATTTTTCCAATATGTACCAGGGTTCAATCATAAGTCGTCTTTTCAGAGTCACTATAACCTCTTTACTTTTTCCCAGAGGATTCTAACAGCTCTTCCTATTTCCCAGGTCTTAGTTGAGCATCTTCTCAGGACACTAGAAGTTCCCCAGCAACCTGCTGCTCTTCTAAGAATCCTTTCACAGCGAGTCTAGGAAGCTTTTACACCCTCACTTTCCTAGGGCCACAAACAACTTAAATGGCTTTCTTAGCAGCAGACCAGTGATTATTTCTCTTGAAAGGACTGCCACACAGCTGCTTTCAAGATCTTCCAGTAGTATTGCACTTAAATACCCAATGTTTAACAAAAGGTTCAGACTGATAGCTCAAAGTGCATCAGTTGAACTTGGGGTGCTGTTGTGATTTAATAAACTATTCATAAACCTGCCTGGGTTTCATGGAAGGCACCGATCCTCATTCCCCATACCTTTTGGAAGGCAGATCAGCTACAACAAGTTGTGCTGCGAGGGGTTGATCACTTCTTAAGTATCAACCCCAGTCTCTATGGTGGTTTCTTCAGCAAAGGAGTAGGTAAGACAGATGTATTAAAGCAGTACTGAGGATGACAGGGAATGCCATTTGGCACAAGTATTTTAAACTGGTATGCAAAGCTGAAATGTGCAGATTTCAATATTTTTTTCCCTTCTCAAATTTAGACTGCTCAGTTTTTTGTTTTGCATAATATTCATTTCTGGATTTAATTATTAAGTTTATGTAAAATTGGCTTTCGGAAACCTGCTTTCTTCCTACTGTTATCAGAAGTTATGTTATATTGATACTGCATCTTCCTTTAACTCAAACAGGTTGCATCTTTGCCAGTGAAGATGTCTTAAATTTATGCATTGAAGAAAATTATAAACACAAATTGTTGGCCTCTCTATTTTTGGTGCTGCCTTGTAAATGTCTGTCAGTATTTTCTTATAGACCTGAAAACATGGGGGGTGGGCTTGGGGAAATTAAATTGATGTGGAACTGTTAGCGAAGTGGGCCAAGCTAAGTGTTGAGTGGAATCCAGTAAATTGGCAGTTTATTTTCAATTGCTGTGGATTAGCAAAATTCTTGAAAACAGATCTTGTTTTTAAAGCTTTTGAAGAACTTACCAAAGCTCTGACTTTGAAACCCATTGCTCCAATCTTTCTTTTTTCAGATTATGATAAATGTCCTGTTAAAATAGAGGTTTGTGGCAATGCTTCCTTTGACATAAGATCCAACAATACACTTTTTCAGGTAGCACTGATTTCAAATGGTAGTGTCAAAGTAAGAATTAAATAAAGGCTGCATTCAGTCTTAAGTTAAACCCATTGTGCCTAGACACTTCATCATAATACACTCGAGTAAGTGCTCTTGTTTGATTTAGCAGCATTGGGGATTTAGCAGATAAGGTCCAGACACCTATTGACTGTGATGCCCTAAAGACAATGCAGTCAGTCTTATTTGGGATGCAGGAGTCTTGATCTATTTTATCTTATTTTTAACAAAATTGTTTTAATATGGTGGAAGTCTCAGTACAGATTTAACTGTATTCTGTGCTTATGAGTGGTCATAAGCTACTTTGAACAGTTTGGTTGGGGATTGGGCATCTTCTGGGGCTTCAAAGGATAGGTACGGTACTAGTGTGTGGTTAAGTTTCTTCCTTAGCTACCATGTGTCCTTTTTGCTAGAGAAAAGTCCTAATCTCTGGCCTGCAATACAGCATGAACAAATTATCAACCTGAATGCCGTGTCGAGACCCCCAGGTGAAAGGAGGGTTATGATAAGGAACCATTTAGGAGCCAGGGTGGGGAACAAGGCATGCACAAGAGTTGGGGTGGAAAGGAAGAGAGAGATCATTACCATGGCAGATTTGGGAGGGATAAGGTGGTGTGGAAGGGAGGCTTACATGGGGACCATTACAAGGACAGAGTACTTCATGTGCTGTGGGAGGGCTAATGAACTGGATGATTTGTTCCTCTCCAGTTCTAAAGTATAGCTCAGTGAGGAGGAGTAAATCCATCTTTGGTGGTAAAGGCAAAATAATTTACTTGTAAAGGCAGTTAACTTTTATTTTAACACTCCTCAGGTTGATTTTCATGCATTAATTTTGGAATGAGACCTAGTTAGTGTAGCTAATCTTTCTGCTTTTCTTTCTTTTCTTTTTTTTTTTACAGCAAGCAAGGATTTGGCACAGACATCCTATTTCATGGCTACCAACAGGTTGTTATCCTGAACCTCTTTGTTGCACTGTTGTAGCACACTATAGCTTCCTTTACTGCAGGGCCCCCTCCATGTGTCTTACCCTTGTTGCAACAGGAGACTGGGCCATCTACAGTGGTGGTACCTTTCTGTTTGCAGTGCGGTGTATTGTACAAGGGCCTTATGGCACAAAGGGGTTAAATGCACAATGAGAAGTGTAGTGGTGCTTTCTGATGACATTTTCTCGATTGTGAGTGCATAAGTCTAAAATTGGTAGCCTGAATAGCAGCTAAAGATTACAAAGAGCTAAACTTAACCTAGAAATTCGAGCATCTTGGTAAGTACAAAACTATTTCTAGTTTACACTTGTAGTTAATGGCAATTTTCTCTTATATTTAAATATGTTGACCCAGTCCTAACTTTATAAAACTGTAGTGGGCCTAAAGCAGGGGCGGGCAATTATTTTGGGTGGAGGGCCGCTTACTGAGTTTTAGCAAGCCATTGAAGGCCGCATGACAGGCAGCCAGGGGCAGATAAATATTAATTTTATAGGGGCCCCGTGGGCTGGATAGAATCGCTTGGTGGGTTGCATCCAGCCCCGTGGGCTGCATTTTGCTCAGCCCTGGCCTAAAGCTTACCTGACTCTTTCTTTTCAGATAGAGTAGAACTAGTCAAGAAATGTTTGTCCTTTCAGAGGCATCTTCAATTAATGTCTTTAAACACCCTGCCCTGCCTAGTATTTATATTATGGTTATCCAGGTGGTACTAACAAATGTGGTCCAATTAGTTTGGTACAGGAGAGAATGTGGAAGCTGATCTAAGTCTTGTTTTCCAATCGCTTCCACCTGTTTGCAAATAAGTTTGAGTTTCACTGCGTTAGACATTGTTCCAATTCTAGATTATATAAGTAACATTAAAGTTCTCATAATTATTTTTGGTGGTCCTTTTTGTTTGGAATAATTTCTTATTTGAAAGAACAATGCTAAAACCAGAAAAGTTGAACCAGCATATTTGTACTGCAGCCAGCTGCAAAATTGGGATATAAATCTACTCATAGCTTCAAACTTGGGCCTGATGAAAGCTAAGCATCACAAATGTGATCAGTTGAGTTTCTAGAGAACTGTTGGGTATCTACATATAATAGTTTGACACAGAGACTGCATGATGAACTGTATGAATATGTATTGTGATGAAGTTTTATCACCCATGTTAAGTTGAATTTTGGTCCTTTTAAAGATGATAATGGAATTAATTAGGAAATACTATTAAAAAAAATAACTGTTAATCTTGTAAGACCAAACTAACAATTCTGTCCGACAAATGCCCTGTCCTTTCTTTGTTGAAGGCAGTAAGATTAATTTTAGGATTTATTCAGAACTTATTAACAGTTTAATTAACTGATGTTTAATTGCTGTTGTTTGATACATCCTGACCTTAATAGTTGGTTTGTTTGGTTTTTCTTTTATTTTCCATGTTTGAATTCTTTGGTTCCTCATTGTGAAACTTGTGCAACAGTCTGCATCTTACTACGTTCTGCCTTCAGTACAAACCAACAGTGATAGCATGTGTGTGCATTCACCTGGCCTGCAAGTGGTCCAATTGGGAGATTCCTGTATCGACTGACGGAAAGCATTGGTGGGAATATGTGGATCCTTCAGTGACTCTAGAATTGCTAGATGGTAAATTGGTATTGCCTTTTTATATTTTCTAAATGAGACATAGTTCTTATACCTTTGTCAGTATTATGAATTAAATATTAGCATAGCCACAGCTGTCCCAGTTTTTAATTTAAAAGAAACTTTTAAATATGTATGTTTAAATCCCACACATCTAACATGTGAGTTCTTCATTCCCACCCCAGTTTTTTAATGCCAGGAAGTAGAGCTGAAGCTATTCTATATCTGCCTGTCAGCAGCAGTATTCTTCCGGTGCGTGAACTGGAATATTGTTGTAAGACCCATACTTTCCCCTCCTTGAACTGCCTTCTACCCACAAACCCATTGCTCTGCAAGACTTGGTGTTGGGGATGTACTGAGGATGAAGCCTTGCCATACAGTACTGAGATCTCATAGGGCAGCCTGAGGCTCATTTAATTCAAATCGGTCTTCAAAGCTGTCTGTTGTACTAGTAGCCTCTTTAGCCTCAAGAGCAGTCCAGGGGGTCAGAAAGATAACTGAAACCATTTCAGCCCTGCTGCCCCTGGGCTGCAAGGCCTATGCATCTTTTAAAAGGGAGGCACAGAATTTAGTCATGTTGTTAATTGCTTTCCTGAACTGGGGCCTTAAGTAGCTAGCCATACTGCAACTTAAGTCTTTGTAGAGTAGGCCACCTTTAGCAGACAGTGTACTTTATTCCTACCCAGACTTCTGGATACTAGGTGGATTACATGACTGAAATGAGATGTACTGCTAAAGTCAGTCCTGCATGTGAGAAGGGAACTGGGTTTAGTCCATAGAGTTGGGCGTTTGGATGAGTGGTGTGGGGTTGGTCTGCGTGCCCAAACTGGGCATCAGCCCAACCCATCCCTGCACGTAGGGCCGTGTTATTCAGCCTACAGAGATTCCCCCACAGGTCTGGAAATAGGGCAGTAGGGGAATGGCAATTTATGCTGCCACTGCTATCCTGCTGCAAAATTTCCAGACTCATGGACTCCTGTGGGCCAGATCTGGCCCACAGGCAGATCTGAACATTCCTGGTGTAACCCATGGAAAGTAAACTATATAGCCCATGGAGTCAGTCCTGCAAAGGAAGAAAGATGTCTTTTTATTCCCATTAACAGAAAATGAAATGGTTGTCTAGGTAACTACCAAAAATGTTTGTTAACTTACTGTTCTAGCCCTGCTTTTTTCAACCTAACCAATTTTGTCTTGAGCTGGTCCCATGTGTCATCTTAAATTTGGATTATAAACTCCTTGTGGCAGGGATTGTCTTTTCCTGGCATAGAGGAGCCTCCGGTTATGACCTATACGTATTACTACAATATGAGTAATAAATGGCTACATAATAAATGGTGGTTGATATTTGGAAAACTCTATATTGATTAGATTTTGCTAGGAGCCATTTTGGAATGAAAAAACAAATTCTTAACATACAATTGTGTTTTACACATCGCTGACTTGGATGTGGGCTACATAGGTTTCCTGGGGCCTGCTGCTCTCTTCCCTTCACTATTTCTTTTGAATGAGAACTTAAGTGATAAAAATGAATGAATGCACTCTTAAACAGAGAATCAGGAAGACAGCTTAAAATTGTAAGGTCAGCTGCCTCTGTCTCAATGGGATTTTAACTCTGAAATAACTCAGATGACGACACTAAATGTCAATACAGTTGTATTACTTGCTAAGTTTTTTTTTTGGTTGTGTAATTAAATTGGAAAGGCTTGCTTCATCTCTGGGTCTATCACTTTTTCTGACCAAAGCTTGGTCAGTATCGTACAGTAGCAGTAAGAGGAAAGAATGAATAGAAACACCTGTATGTAATAGGAAGGGGAATTAGAAAAAGACCATCAGGAAAACTTAACTTACAGTTTATTCTGCAAGGCTGTTAAGGACTCAGTTTTGCAGGTCTTAAGTCGTATCTTGACTCAATACCTGATGATTTTTGGGTACTTACTTTCTAATGTTTGATAGAAAGTAGTGGATTTTGTTTGCGTCTGCTGAAGAGATGGACTTAAATTGCCTCATGGACATCTTAATTGAAAAGACTATCGAAGAAGGAATCTGAAGCAAGTTTAAGGAAGTGAATCAAGGAGCCCCTCATCCTGCATCCCCAGCGTGAGGATCAGGCAGGGGACAGTTTCAGGCCCTCACAGCATGATTGGGATATGAGTAATTTTATGCCCCATCCCAAATATTGCGCATCGTGCCATGCTTGTCTGGCATGGCAGACAGTGTGATTTTTGAGATGTGGCATAACATCTTTGAGATGTTAAAAATGGTATGACTGACATCTGTTGGAGATCTTAATGTTCTTAAACAAGTTTTCATGCAGAAAATGTATTTAATTTCTGAAATTTCAATGTCTTCAAATAATGCGAATTTTTACACTGCTTACTTTTTGTGCAAGCCTTGTGGAATTCTGTTTCTGAACAGTCATCTTGCAGTACCGAAAAGACATTCCAACATGCTCTTCATAATGTATGATTTCACAGAACTGGAAGTTGGTTGGAGAAAGCAGTGCTAGTTCTGCTGTTCCCTGTAGCTTTGAGCTCCAAGTATGTTTCCTGTATATTCACATTTAGTGCAATTCGTAGTGCTGCATGGTTGTGTGCTGCTAATCAATAAAGTTGGTAAAAGTTTTAAATGTTGTTACTGATTCAGTAGCAAACACGGCTTTTGGTTTTCTTTTCAGAGCTTACACATGAGTTTCTGCAAATACTGGAGAAAACACCTAGCAGGCTGAAAAGAATTCGGAATTGGAGGGTAAGAACTTATGACAAACTGTATAGGCAACTGAACTACCACACAGCTAAATAAACTTCTGTCACACCGCCTTAACCTTCCCCAACTGTATATTCACAACTGTTCATTCTTATATTTAATTAAAATAAAAGATCAGGATATCCACTGTGTGGCCATTGTTGAGGTATACTTTGTATATCTTAAGTCAGGGTTGTCCACCTCCTAAGCCTCCTGGGATCACACCAGCAGGGCCTGCGTGCTACACAGGTTGCACCAGGCAAGCCACAGTTTGCTGGACCACGCGGATGCTTTCCCACCCCTCTTGTTCTTCATGGGCACCCTCATCCCCATTACTGCAGTGGGTGCCCTACCACTGCTGCCCTACACAGGTGCAGTTCTCCCCCCTTTCCCCATATGTGTGGCCCAGGCACTGCCTGTCCCTACCCACCCCCTGTCTCTTGCGGTGCCTGGACACACTTCTTCTCCCACTGCGGCTACACAAAAGTATGATCTTGCCCCAGTGCTCATGGCCTAGACTCGCCCTCAGCTCACTGCATTGCCTCGTCCCTTGGGGTGAGGGCAGGAAGCAGCAGCCAAAGGGAGGAGCTGTTGCAGCCA